TATAATATGTGCTTTCTCCGCCTGGTCTATAATTTAATATTTTCTACCTACTACTATTGTATAATATTGTTTTTTTTTAATATTGATACATTATAAATTCCCTGCCTAAGAACGGAAATAATGAACTCATTAACACGTTGTTAGGCACCAGTGATTGGCCGATTCCAATTCACTGTTATTTACTTAAAACAATCGGGTTTTAAATTGGGAAAAGGCGACTATAATCAAATTGGTAAAAAGTGAGGATAACCATTTGACAGATTTCAGATTTTATTTATTTATTTTTGAAAATCATTTAACTATCACTCTTTAAATAACCTTTAGTCTCAATACAGCTTGATATGTATATAAACCTATAGGTTGTGAGTTTTGTGTGATAATGTAGCCTAAAAGAAATAATTTAAAAAAATAATACTTTCTTTCTTCAACTTACTATAGAAGATTTAACAAAGTTGTAAATAATTATTTATCTACAGATCTTAAAACAGTTCCCTCACATTTAATTAATTTGGTAAGCATCTATTGGTTTTATTACACAACAGATTTGTTTTATAAAAATAAGGCAGGGCTGCAACTAAAATCAAAACGTAGGATCGGAGGAAATTTCAGAAATTAAAAAAATAAATAAAGACATTTATTATTATTATTATTATTATATATCACTTGATATATATCATTGATATATATCGGATATTTATATAAATATCATGATATTTTAGAACCCTGAAAATAACTCATTTTTAATAATGCTCAAAAGGTTGATCATCATTTGGAACTTTTCTCAAAATGATTGAGAGGGTTCCCAAATCATTTCTAACTTTTTGAGCAAAAATAATGTTTTATAAAAAATTTTCTTTTCTTTATTTCTTATTTTTTTCAAAGCAAAAATGTACCATTGGTTTTTTCCTTAGAACTATTAATATATATATACGAGGTGTGTTCAGAAAATAACGGGAATTGTTAAATTTCGCGGGTTCGGAGGGTCCGGTTGTCATAAAATTTTCTTTATTATGTTGGTATACATGCCCCCGAAGTATGATAAAAACTTTAGCTATTTTTATCGTTTACTTTGTCTGTGGCAGCCGTTAAGGTTAGACGTGTTTTATGAGCTCGGCGATTTTCGTTCGTTAAAATAAATGGATCATAGAAATTTGTATCCAATTTTGCTAAAAAAATTAAATAAATTCTGTGAAATGTTAACAAAGGCCTATAGTGAGTCTGCTATAAGTAAAACAAGAGTTTACAAGTGGTATAAGGGTTTCCAAGATGGCCGTGAAGACGTTGAAGATTACGAAGGCCCCGAACGCACAAGCACATTAACAACCGATAAAAATATGGAAAAAGTGGAAGAAATGGTTATAAACCATCAAAGAAGTCCCTGATGATGTTAGTATATCGATTGGCTCATCCCATCAAATTTTTTCGAATGTTTTGGGTATAAAACGCGTGGAAGCAAAATTTGTTCTAATATTGTTAAATTTTGATCAAAATTTTTGGCCAAAAACAATACTGTAATGATGCCCCAGCCTCCATATTCGCCAGACATGCCTCTGTCTGACTTTTTTCTATTCCCAAAAATAAAGAGAACCTTAAAGGGCGGTCGTTTTGCAAGCATAGATGACATTAAAAGCGCATCGCTGAAAGAACTAAAGGCTATCCCAAAGATCGAGTTTTAGAAGTGTTTCGAGTATTGGAAGAAGAGCTGGCACATGTGCATAAAATCCAATGGGGACTATTTTGAAGGCGACATCATTAATGTAGACGAATAAATAAAAATTCCCGATATTTTCTGAACACACCTCGTATATAGGGTAAATATTTTACGGATTTTTTTTCCAAATTTCTGTAAAGCCAATGAGTTTTATGAATTGTTTTCCTAAATGCTCATTTTTAATTGCAAATTTTTTATCTTCAGTAACCTTTTTATACGATTTGCTGTTTTTGAGTTATTGTGCCTTCAGGCAAAATAACTGCTTCTTAAGAGAAGAAAAGCAACGGAGAAGTGAAACATTTATTTCTCCAACGTTAGTTTTATTAGTTGTTAATTGTTGATGATAAAATTTTAACCTTCTTTGCATTTATAATACGCTGTATCTTGAAATATACTATTTTTTAACTCAATTTAGAATCACCCTGTATATTTGTATTTCATGCATTATAATTATTTTTGTCATTTCGTTGTAGTTTTTGTAGAATTTCTTTCTTTGAGGTTGCTTAAAGTGTGGTTGGAATTAGGGTTGGGAAAATGTCACTTTTTGCTTGTACTTGAAATTTTCACGACATTTATGAAATTTATTAAAATTTCCTAAATGTCTAAAATTTCATGAAATTTATGAAATTTATTGAAACTTTCAATAAATTTCAATCACTTTAAGTGTAATATATTAATATTGAAATAAGCCCACTCGGTGACCATGGCAAATTGCCTCTCTTACCTCCTACCCCTCTGTGGGCCCCTGCTCCAATAATATAAATAGTAAATACCTATGTTTACCACAAATTTCTTGAGATTTCCTTTTAAAATATTTTTAAAATTACTAAAACTAAGAGAGATATAGCACTTTTTGGTAAGCTAATGAGATTGTGCCACTTACATTGTTTTATATTTATATATACCTATTTATTATTTTTATATATTTTACTGAAATTTTACAAGAATTGAAGAAACTTCATCAAAATTTTATAAGCCAAAGGCATTTTTTATCCGTTTTCCGATACAATTGTAGCAAAAGTAAAAGTTTAAAAAAAAATTTAAAGTCTGATTTAATTTACAAATTAAATTGGTAACTGAATTAAATTATTTAAATTAATTTATGCATATAAGTAACAATAATTACTAATAGTGTATTCAAATCCAAGCCGAACTAAACAAAAACTCCCAGTCGCTTGATAACTCGTTCTTATTGGTCGATTCGGAATCTGTTGTAAATTATTATTAAAGGTCCCAGGGGAGGCCGCATGTGAAATTTATGCGAAATTTTCAGTAAATTGCGAAACTTTCAATGAAATTTCTGAAAGTTTCACAGGCAATGTTGAAATTTTCGAATTGAAAATTTCATTTGAAATTTTTAAAAATTTCACTTTTCCAACTAAATGAAATATTTCAAGTTTGAAACTTTCAAAGTTGAAATTTTCATTTGAGACCCTAGTTGGAATTGATATTGGGATGTGCCCCCCCAAAACGCCACTGACAGACATGCAAATTAATAACGATTCAGTATGTTCGATGCGTGCCGACACACAGTGGGAGGAATTTCAAAAATCGCGGACAAAATTAGGGACACATTATTTTAAGCCATTTTAAGGTTTATGCGGTGGTAAATTTATGCTAAAATATTAATAAAATGTTTTAATTATGTACACAAATTCACAAATTTGTTTTAAACAATTTGGAAAAGTTCGGTATTGTCGATCCTCCATTTTCCAAAAACATAAATTAATAAACAAATATATTACGCAATATTACCTAAGCTAAAAATAGAAAAATAAACAAAAAAAAACAATAACAATTAAAGAATATTCGAGCAAAATCACTTATATACATTTTTTTCGATACATCTTTTCTTTGTAAATTTCGCATCTTTTGCTTTATTTATATCGACTGACTTGGTCCAAAAAACCCCATATCGATGTTAAAATAACATTTAAAAGTTGACTTTAAAGCAAAACCGGTTAAATCCACGTTTTTTACCTACTCTGTAAAAATGAATTAGTCAAAAATGACTAATTTAATAGTTATTATTGGCTGCTTTTTTACTTGTACCTACCATAGTTAACCATGAAATATAATGGTATCCCAAAATTTAACATCAAATTCTTATGTAAAATTGTCCCCTGAATCCGAAAATGCCATAAAAAATTATGAAAGTGGAGCAGTTTTTGAAATATAGTCAATTCCATATTAAATGAAAAATTGACTATATCTCAAAAACTGTTTTACTTTTTTAACTTTTGACGATATTTTCGGATTCAGGGGACAATATAAAATTTATCAATAATATTCAGGTTTTCGGTTAGATACTTTAAAAGTTTGTTGTGTTTTTCTTTGTTACTAACATTTTTAATAAGTTCATACAACTTCTTATTAGTCGTTGATGGCATTTATACATAAAAAGAAGCAAGTTATTCAAATAAACATGTAATATTTATATTAATATTATAACTTACCAAATATTATTATAAAGCGTTAATAAACACAAAAACACTATGAGATTGTATGTATGATTGACTTTCACTGGAAACTGACGTTTTAGAACTAGCAAAAGGCAACTATGATGACTTATAAATATTCGACTAATATGATAAATTCATGGACATACTTTATATTCTGCTGACCAAACAGGCAAAAAAAGGCAGCTTAATTCTTTTGACTTTAAAAAAAGAAAATTTGATGAACGTTCTGGTACCAAATACTTTGCCTCACACCAAGGCACACCTAAAGAAATATCTTGTGGTTTGTAAAAGATTTATCTACTTTTAAAGGCGATGGTAAAAGGTTTATAAAAACCGTATTTATGGTAAAATTTGCAATTTTAGACTTTTATATGAAAGAACAAGGATAAGGAATGTGGTAAAATATACCATCATTTCCTTTCATTAATTAGGCAAAACAAAAATGGGCTTAAAAAACTTACATACAATTTGCTCTAAAAAACCGACACGAACAATGTAACTTTTTAAGCAAGTTTAAGCGGGCATTTTATCATAAAAAAAAATATTTCTTTTAAAATCATAATCTCTGTGCTTTCTTTTTTTATAACTCGTAATTTAAAATTTACTATGTTGATTTTTACAAAATAGGGTTTTGTCCGCGATTTTTGAAATTCCTCCCAGTGTGCGACATGGCGCGAATAGAAAAATCGCTCGGGGATCCCGTGCGTCCGTAGACTTTGCACCGGTAGAAGGGGCAAAGCGCGAACCAGCAAACGTGACAAATCCGCAACCCCACCAAAATACATATAATTCTGCAAAAACAATTCGACATCGGACATTTATAAACTGAACCGCCGCACCACCACACAAAACTTCCGAAAAAATGACAAGATAAAATTATTTTAAAAGAGTGCGATTTTTTTTCTTTCGAAATGAGGAAATTCGCGTTTATAGTGATTATTTATTTTGTGTTGACCAGGATTAATTGTGACATTAATTCTAGTTATGTAAAGTTTAAGTATTCCCTGTCGAATTTGACGCTGAAAAATGACGTGAAAATCGAGTTGGACATCGAGGAAAACGTTTTGAGTGAGGAGGAGCGCGGGAAATTGTGCGTCAAAAATTTCACCAAATGCAGAAATAATGGTAAATACACCTCTATTATAATATATAATGCGATTTACAAAATTTAATTTATTTTATACTTTTTTAGCAATAATTTTTATAAAAAATTAAAACCAAAAAAATCACAATTTTTTTTTTCATAAATTAAATTAAATCTCATAAAAAAATATTAAATAATAAAAAAAATTTTAATCAGACTAAAAAATAACAAACAGTTTTTCAAACTGCGTAACAAACTGTTAAATTTGTGAATTTAAAATAAACTCACTATACAATGTATACTAGGGTGATTCATTTCCGCAAAGTTTTTGTTTTTTTTCGGTGCTCAGGCAAAATATTAATCTACCTATAGAAAAAAACATTTTCACCAAGGTAGAGCTCTTAATATCAATTTTAAGTACTTGCAGTTTAAATTTAAAGTTTTCCCATTTAAAATGCATGTAAAAAAATGGTTTTTTTTTCAAATTTCTAATGCTTACCCACCTTTGACAATATTGCAAATCGGTTTAATACACCTTATGGGGAATTTCACGCTCTTTAAAATTGCTTTTGAGTTTTTTTTTTGTAACTCGCATTGGTTCACCAGTAGGAGTCGTCAAAGGACAGTTTTTGAAAAAAATCGTTTTTTTTTATTTTTTCGAGCAAATTGCCAAAAGTAGTGAGAAAAAAGGGCTGATTCATAAAAAAAAGTTATCCAACCAATATTTAATGAATTTACTGCCATTTTTATAACTGAAAACGTAAGAAATTGATAAATACCAACCCATAATGTTATTTAGATTGATTTTTTCTATTTATTATCATTATATTTCCCTACACTAAGAACTTTTTTAAAATTATTATGATTTCTCACTCATAATGAATATTAAAACAACACATAAATTCATAAAAAAAAACAACAAAACTTTAATCGGAATATACAGAAGGTTATGTAACATATTTCAAATTTCGCTTCAAAAAATTAAATAATCTTCATTTATACTTTTTTGCTATTTTTTATGAATTTATCTGTTGTTTTCATATTCATTATAAGTGAGAAATTAATAATTTTAAAAAACTTCTTAGTGTAGGGAAATAATATTATATATAATATAATTATATATTATAATGATAATAAATAGAAAAAATCAATCTAAATAACATTATGAGTTGGTAATTATCAATTTCTTACGTTTTCAGTTATAAAAATGGCTGTAAATTCATTAAATATTGGTTGGATAACTTTTTTTATGATTCAGCCCTTTTTTCTCCCTACTTTTTGCGGTTTGTTAGAAAAAATTAAAAAAAAAACGATTTTTTTCAAAAACTGTCCTTTGACGACTCCTACTGGTGGACCAATGCGAGTTACAAAAAAAAACTCAAAAGCAATTTTAAAGAGCGTGAAATTCCCCATAAGGTGTATTAAACCGATTTGCAATATTGTCAAAGGTGGGTAAGCATTAGAAATTTGAAAAAAAATATATATTTTTTACATGCATTTTAAATGGTAAAACTTTAAATTTAAATAGTAAGTACTTAAAATTTATATTAAGAGCTCAAACTTGTTGAGAATTTTTTTTTCTATATGCAGATTAATATTTTGCTTGAGCACCGAAGAAAACAAAAACTTTTCTCCCTACTTTTTGAGGTTTGTTAGAAAAAATTTAAAAAAAAACGATTTTTTTCAAAAACTGTCCTTTGACGACTCCTACTGGTGAACCAATGCGAGTTACAAAAAAAAACTCAAAAGCAATTTTAAAGAGCATGAAATTCCCCATAAGGTGTATTAAACCGATTTGCAATATTGTCAAAGGTGGGTAAGCATTAGAAATTTGAAAAAAAAGACATTTTTTTTACATGCTTTTTAAATGGGAAAACTTTAAATTTAAACTGCAAGTACTTAAAATTGATATTAAGAGCTCAAACTTGTTGAGAATTTTTTTTTCTATATGCAGATTATTATTTTGCTTGAGCACCGAAGAAAACAAAAACTTTGCGGAAATGAATCACCCTAATGTATACATACATGTATATAAAAATACTTATTAAAAAAAAACGGTTTAATATTAAATTTTAAATGATCATTTCAAGAAAAATAGATTTCAATAAAAAACTTTTTTCTATTTTTTTTTGGGGAAATGGGGGAAAACGGAAAAAGGTATAATAAAACGGAAATTTGTATATTCAGGTGCAAAGGCAGAAAAAAGTTTTGGTAAAATATGAGATTTAAATGAAATTATGAAGATCATAAGCTTGTTAGGGTTTTTAAAAAATCTCATAACTAGGGTTTAAAAATTTCCGGAAAAATTGAGCCGGCGAAAAAATTGACTTTTGCATTTTTTTCATTTTATTTAAATTTTTATTTATTTTATATATTTCATTTATAATTAATTTTTTTTTTTTAAATTTACAAATTTTTACGTATAGGTAATAACCGACGCGTCGGGCGCTGATTATACCCATATAATTTTATGATTATAATAATTATTCCTTTTATTTTAATTCAGAAAAAATATTCTACCGGGTCGCAAAAAACATATTCGATGCTATATTAACATAAATATCGTTTTATTTAACCCATCGATTTATAAAATTATAATTTTGTAATTTAACTTATTAAATCGTTCATTATGTTTTAATTGGATAATTTTAATGGACTCCTTTTTGCAAAAAGGACCCAACCGACAGTACTCTCTAAAAATGAATTAGAATTTAATGGTTATTAGTGGCTGCTTTTTCACTTGTACCATGGTTAACCATGGAATAGCATGGTATTCCAAAATTTAACAGCCAATTCTTATGTAAAATTGTCCCCTGAATCCGAAAATACCGTCAAAAATTATAAAAGTGGAACAGTTTTTGAGATATAATCAATTCCATATTAAATGGAAAATTGACTATATCTCAACAACTGTTCTACTTTTTTAACTTTTGGATTTTCGGATTCAGGGGACAATTTTACATAAGAATTTGCTGTTAAGTTTTAAGATACCATGGTATTCCATGGTTAACCATGGTACAAGTGAAAAAGCAGCCACTAATAACTATTAAATTAGTAATTTTTGACTAATTCATTTTTAGAGAGTATATATAACGTTTGCGTTTATTTTAATTAAATTTAATTCAAGTTTTATTGGTTTTTGTTCCTGTAATAAAGGATATTTTGTTAATTAAAATAATTTTAAAATTATTAAATTTTCTCCAAAAAAGACAATTTTTCCAATGCCTGGGAAAAAAACCGAAAAATTCGTTTTCCCCTAATTTTTTTTGATATTTTTTGAGACGTTGAATTTTCAAAAGTTGACGATTTTTGAAAAATCTTTTATTTAGAAATTTTTTTTTTTCGTGTTTTTTTTAATTATTCGTTTTTTTTATTTGAAAAATTCCTTTGTGTTGTCATAAGGTTTTGTTTAATTTTCCATAAAAAACATTAAAACACGAAATTAAAAAAAAATATGTATATAAAAAGTTATGGACAATTGACGGTGTTATTTTAAAAATTCTTTCGGTATTTCTAAATTTGCTGATGTCAAATATTTCACCTGACCTGTTGTTTATTATTTGTGCTGCCCTAATCAGAAAGAAGACACTTGTAATTAACATCAGGATATTGGAAAAATTGTACATTTTGCAAGTCGTTCGAGTATATTTAATACGAGCAGAAAAGTTGCAAGTGCAAGAACCTTGACTTTTGCAAGTTATTTTGTAACGGTTTTTTAGAAAAAAAAAATGACTTTCATTTAAATCGCTTTATCTATCCTTTTGTTTTTCACGAGGAAAAAACAACATGGGTTTTATTTTTGTATCCAACTAAGTAATTTACTTGTCGTTTTCAAGATCAAATTTCTCTTTTATTTAAATTTCAAGTTCAAGTATATGTACATTGTTATGCAACTAAACTTTGGCAATTTATAATACTCGCTCACAAGTCTATCAAAATTTATTATTCACTTCAATGCAGATGTTTTAAATTATTCGGATATTTTCAATATTTATTACTGGAGGTATATTTAAATATAGATATAGGTAAAAGTGGAATATTAAGTACAAATAAAAAAATACAATTAAGAAATAGCAAAACAATTAAATCAATTAATCAATTAAAAGTTTGACAATTAATTTCGGAAAATTAGTTTTATAGTTCAAAATGCTTTTTGTGAGAATAATTCAACTATTTTATAATAGTATATTTAAGAACTAATGTCATAAGACGTCATTTTGTCACACGCGGACAATGTAATGGACGAGTGCGACAAAAGGTCTTATGACATGAGTTCTTTATGCTATTTTATCTATTTTGCAAAAATTCTATAAAAAAAACTAATTATATATTCTCCCTAAAATGCATTTTAAACTTTAAAATTGATTTTAGAAAATGATTTGTCAAAATAAAACTTTTGGACTTGTACTGTTCTTAATCTCACCGATTCAATTGTAAATCTATAGGTAACTTTTAAAATTGATAATAAGGAAAAACGTTTCAAATAAAATTTCTTACAAATAACAAAAATGATAATCTATTTTTACGTAAAACGCATATTTTCAAAGAATATAGAATTGGACGCAGAAATATTGTTAAATTTAATGTAAATGTAAAGAAAGATGACCGCTAAAAACATGTTTTTTTTACACTTCGAATTCACGATCTAAATAGTAAACTTAATAAGATTATATATACATATATTGATGAGTGCGAATACAAAATATGTATTTAGCATATTTAATTACTATATTTCCTTCTAACAATTTTGTGTGAATTTGTTAAACAGCAGCTGGCAATGAAAGAATAAATTCTAACCTACGTTTTAATGCTTATAATCATAAAATAACATGATTTAATACCAATTATAAAAAATTATAAAAACAAAAATATAAGCGAGTAAAATTAAACATAAAGTTGTTACAGGATATCTATTTTAATTAATTCTTTGGTAACATTTTAAGATTCAATAGCTATAAAACGTTACTAAGTGCCTGTACAAGCTATGTTTACTAAAACCATTGTTAAGCAAATCATTTCAATATAAAAACGTTCAAATGAC